GCCCAGGCAGCGGCGGGAGCCCGGGGTGCGGGTGCCGCGGGTCCGCGCGGGCACCGCCACCGTCGGGCACGGGAGCCCGGGCGGCGGGGCGAGGGCGCCACGGCCGCGCCGTCGGTGGGGCTGTCATCCCCCTCCCCGGTGGCTTTCCGGCGACGCGCTGGCCGGGCGGGGGTCGCCGTGGCGGGTGGGGGTCTCGCCTCGGCACAGCCCAGGCAGGACGGCTGCGCGGCGGGGTGCCCGCTGTCGGAGCGGGGGGGAACGGGGGAGGGACGGCGTACGGACCCTCCGTGCGGCCGGTCTGGAGAGGGGGGCGGCGGGACTGAGGATGCCGCCCGCGGAACCGCAGTATCGGCGGCGATTTAAATTTTGGCATCGCAGGATCCTCGGGGCTGCCCCGCGAGGAGGAGTCGGGCAGCCGGGGCTGCCGGCGGACCGCCGCCCGCACCGCTCCCCCCTGTCCTTTCCCGGCCGCCGCGCCGGGCAGGGTGCCGGTACGTCGGAGGGGCCGCGCCGCTGCTCCTGGTTTGTCCCAGTCCTCCGAGGTGCGTCCCGCCCGTTCCCCGCACACCCGCCTCGCCGCGGTGCGGGCGGCTCGGCGCGGCTGGAGGAGCCCGCGGGCGCGCAGCCCGAGCGCGGGGGTGGGCGCCGGGCGCATCTTCCGCGCTGCCCTCGGTCACAGGGGCGATCGCCGGTGGCTCTCGCCGCGGGGACGGCGGCGTTCGCGGGCAGGTTGGCTGAGCGTCTTCGCGGTCCTTTGAAACACCGTCTGCCGGAGAAATGAAATGATGATCCCGCATCATAACGGGAGCGCAGCGAGCCCCAGCCCGCCTCGCCTCCCGGAGCGGAACCGGCAAAGCCGCCACCTCGGGCGGGCGGTCCCCGCCGGCCCGGCCCGGTGCGATGCGGTGGGGCCGGTGCGGGTCAGTCCAGGGGAGGGGAGCGGGGAGAGCCCTCCAGCCAGCAGGAAGTGCAGAAAAGGGGCTTTCTCTTACGGCCCCGCTTTCTGTCGCCTTCGTAACCTAGTTCCTGCCGCTGCTGGTGCCCCAGTTCTACCAGCGGTGCCAGTGCTGTACAGCTTGGCGTTTAGCCATAAATCCGTATATAAGTGCTTCGGCCTCAACTCCCTCAAACTTATGAAGGTTTCTAATCTGCAGTGACAATCTATTGCTTGTTTCCGACTGTGCTTCTTTACGGCACAGGCTTACACAGGCTTAATGTGCCTTGGGAGCAGGTGATAGTTGAATCTCTTCCAAATTGAAGCCCTGAAAAGGTGACCAGGTGTTCCTGTCACTCTAGGTGGTGTGAGCCCAAGAACAAGGCTGTGAAACTTAAGTGCCCTTCTCAGTGCTGGAGTGTTTGGTGACTATTTCTCTCTGCTTCAGGGTAGCATCACAAGCGGAGCACTAGCAAAATTTTCAACACTAGATACCTTTAGCCATTAAGTAGTAGATGACTGGAAGTGGGCATCCTGCGACAAGCAAGGGGCACCTCAATGTGACTGAGTGCAGATCCAAGTGCAGACAACAGAGAAATGTCGTGTGGGGTCTTAGTAACTGAATGCTTTTTACTCTGGGATGTGTCAAGGGAGCATACTGGTTGTACTGGATGTTTCAAAAAGCAACTCTGGGGTACAGCAGGGGATGGTACTATTTTATAATGCAGATGTGTCTGAGGTATCATCAGCCTTTCATGTTTGTGATTAGTTGCATTTTCATCTTTGTGTTTTATCTGGAAAACAGGTAAAATAGGAAGAGCAGCAAGTTTTATATTTCTGTGCTTTCAGCAGTAAAGCAATACTTTCAAGTCATTTCCAGATGGTTTGCACAAAACACCTTCTTTCAGAACTGCAAGTTTTAATTTTACTGTGTGTAGCTATTTTTACAGTGCTAACCAGATCTTATAATTTATATTTGAAAGGTTGTTCCCTCCCCCATCATTTTGCATGCTTTTCAAAATGTCTGGTATGTGGTTAAAATGGACTCAGACAATGTTTAATAGTTTTATGAATTATAGTGTTATGCATTGGAGATTTAATTCTGAGTGCTTTAGGCAGACCCTCTGTGATCTGACATAATATTCCTAAGTTAAAGAATGCATTTATTATACCTTTGTTCAGTTACACATGAACTAAAAACTAGGATTATCAAATAAATTCGTTGATTCTAATTTAGATTATTTTTAGCTTTTCATTTTAGTACTATAAAGTGCTATTTGCATTTAGTTACTCATATATCTAGTTTGCACTAGAACAGTATAGGGCATACTTCTTTGTTAACTTTTTAGAATTTCTAGTCCCTCTGAAATGAATTCAAATTTCTGGTGCAAGTTGAAGTTACACTTAGAGTGAAGTCGTAAGTCCTTTAAACTAGCATTAAACAACCAGGAAACATAGAATGCTCTTGACAGAGGAGTTGAGGAGACTGTGTTTTGTCCATGTACCACATAAAACCACACAGTCAAATCCAAGACAAATCAAGGGTAATGTTCCTAATGACTTAATGGGATCGGGATTTCACATTTGTGTAGGTCAAAGTCCCACCAGTATTAATGGTGATACTGTTGGCAAGGCCAAGCTGCTGAAACAAAAAGTTACCCAAAGCAAGACAAAAATGTCAAGGTCCATTATGGCAAACTAGAAATTATATTCTAAATGAATTCCAGTATATGAAGCAAGTTACTTCAATAGTAATTGGTGGATGTGATGGGATAAATGTATCCCTGAATACAAAATTCACACCTGATCCTGAGGAAAGCTTGGATATTCAGGTTCCACTGTGACTCAGTGCCAGGGAGTACCCCCTGCAAGCTCTCCTGAACATTGCGTGTCCTGGTGCAGTTAGCATGTCACAGTTACAAAAGGGTTCTAATAGCAGATGTTCTAATAGGAAATATTCATAGACACAGTCTGGATGACTGAATTTCAGCTTGATTGTGAACTTTGCCTGTCTAAATTACAGACAATGGAGTAATTATTGGAATACTTTTTGTATGCCTTAACAAAGATGGTAAAATGTTATTTTACACGTACCTTTGGCAAGAACTTTTTTTCCTATTTGTAATTACACATAGTCAAAGCAATTTTCTTGTATATCTATGATAATCTATGAGAAGTTTTAGTAGTAAAGAGAACATAATCCCTAAAATAACCCCCCGTTTTTTTATGAGGTATAACTTTGGGGGCCCTTTGAATCTGCAACAAAGAAAAACAGCTGCTTCGGTTCTAATCCATGAACAAGACAAGTCTTATTTGCTGCTGCAGTTAATCAGTACAGTGAATTTGTTTATCTAACCATGCATGGTGAACAAGAGGACCACTAATGCAGAAAGTTAGTGTTAGTCCATCAAGACTTTCAGCTCTTAGAAATGTGTTATATGGGCTTCATATAAAATCCTGTTGATTTGAAAATGTTCTGTTTGCTAAATGGGTAGTTTTGTTTTAATAGCTACAGTAAAAAAAATATATACATATTAGTTCAGTTTGCCTTGAGAAAATTCATAGTCATCCACGAACCATATGGCTTTCTTACCTCTAGTAAAGAAATAGCTCTTTGCATGGCAGATACAGTATGTCAACAGCTATAATCAAATATAAGTAGCAGTGGGCATGGATGAATCAGAATCTGTTTTAAAGCAGACCTGTTGGAGACCACAACTTCTCATATTTCATTCCGTATATATCTCCATTATAGAATTATATTTCCCGGAACAGATTATAGTTCACCACATCTACTTTCTGTTGGAGAGGCCAAAATGATTCATTAAAGTAAAATAAGTACTCTTCCCATGATATTTATTTAGGAAATGTCAAGTAGCAGTTTATTCATTTAGTACATGCTCAGTTATGATGAGAGGATGGAAATCATTGCAGTTAGATTTCTCAATCAGTGTTTCCACGCATGCATATATATTTGGTCTCACTTTGCTTTTATCTGTTTCTCACTGTACTTTCTTAAATACTTCTTTTGTGCATAAAATTTACTTATCTTCCATGCATTTTCATTCCACATTTGTCACATTTCTCTGTCCTTGCTAGTTTTGAAAATGATCAGCAAATAGCTTCCAATATGGCATTGGCCGTAAGCCCTCTAAATTTTTTTCTGATTCTATAAGTATGTATTCTTATGATCTAAAAAGACTTTCTTTCCACTTTTGATAGTAAAATTACATCAGCAGTTAGCAGACATACATGAGGTATACCATGGATGAAGGCTTTCATCTCACAAGGGGAATCAGTGTCTGTTATCTTCAGTAGATGCTGCAACCACTGTGTGTAGATAAAGCAGATAAATTGACAGTAATGGAACATGTCAAAAATATGATCAAATGCATACATAAATCCAACAAAACAGAAATCAGTAGTTTAGAGATTCAGACTGTACATATGCACAAATAGCAGAAAGAGCTAAAGTATAAACCAGAGCTTTCTATATCTCCCTGTCTTGGGTCCTTCATAGCTACTTCTTCTCCACTCAAAATCCTTCCACCACTCTCAATTTTGCATCTTCCATCTTAAATATTCTCTTCAAAAAGTGAATTTGTTATGTCAGAGGAACGAAGAGCATCTTAGGGTTGTCAGATTGACCTGAGCTCAGTCTGAACACAAAAAGTTCTTGCAAGTCAAAGTTTATTCTAGGAAATGTAAAATCTTAATAATGATGTTGAAAGCAGTTAGGGAAGTGTAAAACTAAAACACCAAAGTTAGGGAGAAATTGAACACCACTCTTGTGTAGTGGTCATTTAAGGTGTTTCTGATACATATTTCATCTTGGAAGCTGAGAGGCTGCTCAAGCAGTGTTCAACCTCTGAAGTGCTGCCTTTCAGAGGGAACAGCTCCTCTGCATTGCCCTGGAGGGGCAGCAGGTCAGTACTGAGAATAACAATTCAAAATATTTTTTATTATCTTTCTTCTTTAATTTAGGGGATACTGTATTTTCAATAATCCCTAAGGTGTGGGGAGAATGCAAATTAATTGTTTAAGCTTGTCCGGAATCTAATTTCCCTTAGCATGCCAGGTTTTTCTAATGCATTGATTTCCTACATGAAATTTATTTTTCTGCACTGGAGGTCAACTGCATTAGTTCCCTCTGATTCTTTACTTCTTGACAGTATGACTTGTAATGTGAAACTTTTAAATACCTTAATAATGTTATGCAAATTACATACCATAAGATATCTCCAAAGGCTCCAGCAATTCTCCTTCTTTCGTAACCTGATAGACTGGTGACTTTTCATAGAAAACATACACGATATTATTAATGATGTGGATAATCAACTTAGCCTTAGCCTTAAAGGAAACTTTGTCCAAACCATTTCATTCTTTTGTGGTCATTTTTAGAGTTCATGCAGCTGCAGAAATATAGAAGAAGGCTATTGTATTATTATGTGCTTTATTGGCAATGAGGAGTAGAACAAACTTCCCAGCTTTCACACCTGCCCTCCAGTTTCACAAGTAGCCTATAAAAATAACCAGAACAAATAGCTTCAATTGCCACAAGTGGGAGGTTATTTTTTAACCTCTTTTTTTCTCCCCCTGAATGGCAGACAGCAGTGAGAGAATCTCAAGTAGTTACTATTCCTTTTATTTCTTATAAGAATAAAACCCAGAGGATCTTCCACCTTCACTTTCCTTATTGATTTACGACTTAATGAGTCATTGGGATGTAAAGCTACAGAGCATAAACGTTCTTATTCTATCGAATTTGTCTAAACAGAGTCCAAGTAAGATAAAAGACAACGCTTTTGCTTCATTCATGCAGAGTGAAATTCTTTCCAAAGAGCATCAGTGTAAGGCGACCTTTATCCTCTGTGCAACAGCAGATTTCACATAAATGAACAAATATATTCTTTAGTTTTAGAGTTTGATAACAATTATCTTCCCTGATGAGCAGAAAGGAGGACAAAGCTTGCTTTTATTCCTTTGATTTACTTCCCTTGATAGTGCAGTGTTTCAAATCCTGCGTAGTTGAAGCTACAAGAAGAATCTGGGCCTTTTTTTGATGCTAGAAAAGGAAATGAAAAAGCACAACCAAATGTCTTGAAAAGACTGTGTCTGTCTGAATTCTTTTTCATACCTTTAACCAGGCTTCCTCATGATTATGCAATGTAGGGGAAGTAGTATGTAGACTTAATAATATTAATTTTTTTTAATTGGGCTGTGAAAACCATCACAGCAAGAAGATGTTGTGTATCAGTAAGAACTATTAATATCCTCTAGCTGGGAAGACGATGGGCTCCCATTCATAAGAATGACATGAACTTCACCTTCCCTCTGGAGGAGACTTCAAGCCCTTCTGATGTTTCCAGCCCTTTCTGGCTGCAGGACATGAAACTGATCTTTTCTTTGATGGCAACTTGTGGCTTTGTTATGCAGCATCTGGCCTGGTTTTTGGCTATTTTGGTATTATCCATGCCATAATGTTTTACTTAAAGGTAAGAAATTAAAAAAATATGATTAAGTGTTCCTGTTATGCATTTTATGAAGATAATTTCATTTTTATTTGAGTCCAAGGTTTTGATCTCACTCCTTTGAGGGTCTGTTTACAAATAGTGTCATTTAGGAATAGCTACTATAACTTGTATTTATACCACAAATGTCCAAAATTAGTTTTCAGAGCTAGATAACTTACTGGATTTAAGAGAATACCTTCAATATTTAAGAGAATAATTTTAAAATAACTATAATGATTTTTTTCTTAGTAGCTTAACAGAAATTTAAATTTATTATTTTCCTTTCTACAACCCAAATGGATAAACAGGATTGCTGGGTTTTTTTCCCCTCAGTTTTAGTAGATTGAGAAATCAAAATGTTACACATAGGCTAGACATAGCTCCTTCACAACACAGTTTATTTAAACTGCAATTTACTACAGTTTGTAGACCAGAGCAATTTTGTCACAAGGTCCTGCAGTTTATAGAATTATATGGAGAAAAGGTTGCAAATATGAAAATGCAGCATTACTTTTACTTCCAGTCCTGAAATACATTGAATTCTTAGAGTCTCCCATGTCCATACATGTCAGCTTTTATTCATTATGCAAGAGGTGAGTATGGCAAATGAAGTATTTCAAATGAAATTATTTTTATGAAGTTGAAAAGGGATGCAATTAGTTATGATATTGTGTAGTGGTAGGTAATTTGATAACAGTTTTCTTAAATAGTAATTTGTAATGTACTACTCAAAAATCTCAACATAAATGACACTTCTAAAGGCAAAAACTTGTCTCTTAGTTTTCAGCCTCATTCCTCCTTTAGTAAAGTGATGCATTCTTATATTGCGCTGACCTTTCTCCCAAAAACTTGAACTATCTACACTGCAAGGCTTCAACTGTAATGAGATTTAGAAAGTTATGTATTACTTTATGAATTCAAAGCCACATAGTGACCTTTAAAAATAAGGAAATAGATGACCAAAGTATTACAATAGATCTAAATAGTTAAATTAATTATTTTGAAGTTATGTTATTTTTCTTTTCAAGTTCAGAACTGATAAAATTAATTTTGGATGCGCACCAAAGTTTTTCTCTTTCTCCCCTCTATAAATGTTTCTCTACAGCTAAAATAACTTGTTAAAGGTTAGGGAAATAAGTCGAACTATTCTTATGACCACCAATAAAATACCTCTTATGGTAATGTGTGTTCATTCTTGAGGTCATTTATAGTGCAGTTAATGTTCTTTTATATTGTTTCATTTTGAGTTATCTTTTTTATGTACATTTTTTTCTTAATTATTGTATTTCAAAATGCCTTTTTCCTTCATGGTGCTTTTTGATACTGTGTATTCCTTAGTAAATGTCTCATCTGATTTATTAATATTTTTAACATGTACTGTGCTTATGATTTAGAGCAGTGTGGATAAGTCATGGATAAGTTATGCAGCACACTTCCTTTGCTAACTAGTGTCAGGTCTCTGATCAATTCCCTGGGATACTTCGATTTCTTTTTACTTTCCAAAATTGCTGTTCTAAAAATGATGCAGAAAAAGCAAAATATAAAGCTGAGAAGCGCAGTGTATGCCAGGCTGTCGTGGTTTGACACAGGCTGTAGAATAATGCTTTGATCAATAAAACAGAAAAGTTTCTCCTATATAACTATTACATTCAGATGGCATTCTCTTTCAAGAGCTGTCCTGGCATCTGTTTGTGAGTAACCTTCTATTTAGTTGCACTCCCAAGTAATGTAATACATTTTATTTTTCTTTTACTTTTTCTAGAAAGATAACAAATGCCTTTTCCAGACTTCCTTTAATAGAATATTTTCTCTGCATTAATTAAATTCTTTAAACTGCATTCCATTATTCTAAAATCTTCATGATATGCTTCCTAACCTGATGGAATCTTGTTTAAAATGTTCTGACAAACGTCCATTTGTTACTTCACAGCATGTACGTGGACACTGAAACTTAACAAACTAGTGTGATGCCTGAGAATCACAAGAATGTGTGAAGCCTTACATTCTGGTTACAGCCTGGAAATGAAATGTAACGTTTTGCTTCACTGCTTGAATAATCAGTGCTCTAGGTACAGTTTGCTGTGTTAACATTTGTGTTTTCCTGCAATTCATAACACAATCTATCAGCTGAAGAGTGAGCAGACACAGGAGCAAGCCCAGGTTAACATTGGAAAAAGGGGAGAGTGTTGTGGAGGGGTTTAGGGAAGCATGTGATACTGCTTGGCACCAGAAGAAAAGGAGACAAATAATCAGGGATATAGATGCAAGTGTCTGAATATAACAGTGAAGAGATCCTAACAGGGCAGTAGAGGGATGACTATTTTGGTTGTCTCGTTGTGGTTACATATAAGAGGCAGGAACAAGCTGCATAACATCTCTTTCCTGAGGCATCATGCACATTTTGCGAACTGCATCATGCAAGATTAACAGGCTTAAATGTTTTCATATGTACAAGATAAAATTGCACAGACTATAGATAAACAGACATCAGCACTGACTAATGCATCTTGATATGTAAAAATGTGTAGAAGGGGCTCAGCTGATACGAGGTAGTTGCCAGGCTGTGTTTGTACTGTTCTTTACTTGGAAAAAAGACTGCCCATAAAATAGGGTAACTTATATTAAAAAAAAACCCAAGAAGATGTTTACTGCAAGAAAAAAATACTAATTTCAGTTGCATAATTCCACATAATTATGAATAAAATTTGTCTCTCTTTTTCAACATCTTTCATGCGGCTGGTCCAAGTTACCATAAAGAAATATCTTAATCGTTATTACACTGAAATTTACCACAAAAGCTGTGTTCCTTTTGACCAATGGAATAAATTTTTCTTATGTTTCTGATTTTAGAGCACAAGAAGCAAAGTATTCTTGGCAGCCAGGCTCTTCCTGTGTGAATTCGCTTCTGAAAGACATCAATGTGATTCTTAGTCTTGCTGCTTTCTTTTTTTTTTGAGCAAAACATAAAAACTTGCAGCCTTGTCCACCCTTCGTAAATATGTCCAGCTTTTGTAATCACTACCACTGGTGAAATATCATCTGAAAGATTTGCAAGAACTACAAAAATAAACAACAATGTATATGCATGGAAGATGTCTCCATTAGGAAGGAATGATGGGTATATTGAAATATTCTTCCACAAAAACTTCTCAGTGGATTTCCTTTAAAACTGTGTCCATGAAAATTTACTTGATCTGTCCAGTACTACTGTTTCTTTGGCTGTGGCTATTAATCCTGTGTAGTTTGATCTAGAGGATTTCCTGATATTCTTTTTAATTGATTGATTTTTTCATGTATTGTTTTAACACAAATCTGTTTCAACCTATATACCTTCTAGAAAAATTGATTGTATATATAAGCAACAACTTGTGATTACACCCAAGCATTTATATATGTTCCACAAAGGAGAATGGAGAAAGAGGTAAGATTGCAGACCAAACAGTAACTTTTTTCATTAGTATCCTTAGATTTCACAGAAATTTTAAGAGTAATTTAAATATTTCCACTGGAAAAAAAAAGATAAAAGAAGTGCTTAAAGTATAGTAAAACAAAAAAAGTAGAAAGTCAGAAGATAATATAGAATTTATGATACTGAGCAATAGTGAATTAGTATTATATAGTCATTATGAAAATGAGACTAATTGTCTGTGTGCAAATTTGAGCTGTCAGTTGCTCAGACTTCAGCTTATTTGTATCTAGGTTTCACAGATTAGTGTACTTCCTGGTGAAAACCAGCCATCTGATATATTGGAAATGTTTTAATTCATCTGTTTGAGTTATGGTTGATCAAGAAAGGTTTTGCTACTGAACTCAGACCCATTTTTTAGGTGCCAGCTGGTAAAACCATCCCTAAGCACACACCTTGCTGTAAGCAGGGTTTTAGGTTTTAGCATCACATTTTCAGTTCCTTTCACTGTAGCCTTCCACAGAAGGAGTGACTTAAATGTATTAACTCTTTGAGCAAAATGTGCTTAAAAAAAAAATCACCGAATTTTGAAAGAGCTAGTATGGGCATTTTCAAGTCTCAAAGATCAAAAACTGCCTACAAGAAAAGCTGTATTTTTGGCTTCTCTGTGTTATGAGCAAATAATCCATGTTCCAATTTTTTTTGTAATGGAAAACTAGAAACAGCATTTTCTTTCTGTTCTTGCTTCTGTCAGAAAAGTAGCCAAATGCCCCAGGATACTGGGCTGGGACATATGCTTTACTGATGGCTGAAGAGAGAGCATCACCAAGTTATTTTCCCCAGATTTTGCAGTCCCCTTTGTTTGACAGTCTCCCCTTCCATCGATGACCACTGGAGGTGTGCCAGGTGCCTGAGACCAACAGAACACCCTATGGGATGCCATAGCAACACTTGCCCTGCCTCTGAATTGCTGGTGAACATTATCTCCTTTGGGGCTTGTGGCCAACTGTAAATTGCCTGCAAGAGGGCAAATCCATTTTTCTGTGATGTCAGTGAGTTGTCCATCTCTCTGAACTTGCTGTGAGCTGCTGCAGTCACTGGCACGATGGGAATTACTGGAGTATTTTGGACCGTTCCTCTGCTGGCATCAGAGACACCTGAAGGATGTGCCTAGAAGGGAAGGGGCACTTGAAGATCTCTGCCTTCTCCATCCAAGATGATGTCTTCAGGCCATACTAATGCAGAGCAGCATATCACATTTCGCTATCAAATCACAATTACAAGCTTGAAGGCTTGTCCCCATGGCTGGGACACTGACCTCCCTGCAGGTTGCAGTGTTTGGGAAAAGCGCAGTCAGCAATCCTCTCTGCTCATCTCCAGTAAAGACCGAGAAGGGGGACAGATTTAGTGTTTGTCCTGAACAGGGCTGCATGTGCTTTTCCATCATTTTTAGAAATTTCCTTTAGAAGAGCTGACAGTGCATGATCTATTTTAAATATGCTTCAGAAGATAAAATTATTTCTGGTCTAAGTGAAATCAATAAGCAGTTTTAAATATAAGATATGGTTTAAATAAGCTAAAAAATATCCAGTGACCCTCTGTATATATTGGATGTGTCAGGCTTGCTATGACAACCTTTATTAGCTAATTAATAGCGCCTTACTAAGCAGCTTACTAAAACCAACAAACCTCACTCTGAAGTCCTTCAAAGGCATGAGTAGTAAAGGTGCAGGTGTGGTGTTGCCTGCTTTATCCTGGGGTACCTGTTCCTCAAAGTCCTGGACCTTGTTCTCTCTGGCTTCCTTGTGTGCAACAGGAAGTTTTCCCAAGGCTGGTCTGTGTAGCCCATCACAAAGTCAGGTGCTGGTAAATCCCAGTTTACAACTTCCTCATCTGTGCTGTTACAAACTCCTCTGTCCTGGCACTGCACACCTGAGCTCCACGCACACTGAGGTGTATAAAGTGACACTCCTGCTTTGCCTTGTGGAAATCACCTTTCCTCTGTCCCTGCTCTCACAGACAAAGCTCTCAGAGTGGATTGGATATTCCAAACAGAGAAGCATTTTTAAGTTCCTTATAAAAATTAATGTAGCTCTCCCATGCTAGCCTTTTCCCCCTTAGTGCTCTCTCTTGGCTGTCTTCTTGCCTACCATTATAATTCTGATGTTGGTACTTTCATTTGCTATATTGCATATTTTCTGAAATAAATAAGAACATTGCTTTACATTTGTGAATACATTTGGTCCCATATGTATGCTACTGGGAAGTGTTGCCTAGCAAATTCTGTGACTCCTGATGAAATATGTTAGTTCCTTTTCATAACTTACATTTGTTATTTCTCACAGTATTTGATAAAGGAAAGTGAAGTGGTGGTCAAGTGGACTCATGTACTCAGTTCTTTGAGACTTTTGTTTCTAGATATGAGGTTAAGCTCATTAAATGTGCACATTGTAGCTGCCTCTATTGGGGCAGTAACTAGTTGTTACTGGAATTTCTTGTTTCCCTTGATGTGGTGAGTGGAGTGGAGTGGTGTGGGCATCCCCAAGGGGTGCAGTCTTGCCTTAAGGCAGGTTAGCTGCATCACACCTGGGAAGTGCTGCTTTTTTCAACACCAGAGCCTGGGATGACTGGCTCAGATGTGGATTTCTATCATAAAGGATGTATATCCAGGTATGGTGAATTCTGTCAGGGAAATCTGCAGGTAGCCTCCTTTTTCATACAGTCCAGTAGAATTTTGTCATACTGTTAAACAGGTCTTCGAAGAATGAATCTGTTGATTATAGTTTCTCACTCTTGCTAAAGATGCTTTTAAAATAAGCATTTGTGCATAAATACATCAGAAATAACTGATTTTTTATTAATGTAAGGCTGCAACTGAACCATCTATTCTCATACCTTGAGTTCTGCAGAAGGTTAAAAATTGTATCATAACACTGAATGAACTTTGAGTTGTATGTCCTGTCTCATGCACACTTTTTTTTTTCATAGCAGAAGAACACACAGGAGAAAGTCTTTTCTCTCTCTTTTTTTTCTATTTTTTTTATTTAAATCAATAGAGACATTTTTTACCAGATCTTCTGAAATGCTTACTGATTCTATTCCTTGCTCAGCAACAGGAGATTAAGAAGAAGGCTTGGTTTCGAGCCTAATTGAAACATGCCAATAATAGCATTTGTTGTTAATGAATCTATTCCTTATGAGTACATGACATGCTCCTTCTTTCTTGCAGTAGAAGCTTTAAATGTTAGTAGCCAGGAAGTGCCAGCATTTGATTGCTGCCTGTAGTTAAGTACATAAAAATATCAGAGGTATAAAATATTTTGGCATAAAAAAATCCCCCAATGTGTAGAGAAATAGGGTGCAGTTAAGGAGTATAAGTCAGAGGCAGAAGTGTCTGCTTGGAATACTTGATATAGCCTTTGCTTCAGGTATTGGTAAGGGAAGTTTAGCAGTCACATAAGAAATGTGTTGGTGTTCCCTCACCTACGTTCAAGCTACGTTTGAACTGGGAGCTTTGATCTCTAAGTTGGTCCTTGTTACATGAAGATTTTCCATTTCTAGATACTTGTGGTGCTGGTTTCAAGATGCTAAAAAGTGGAAGGTCCCACAGTGACATGGTAATGCTGGCTCCATCCATAGTGTTCTTGGAATGGATGTGTCCTCTATTTTCTTGGCTCATCTGCTGTTGGTTTCTGGAGTGGCAACACAGTACTGTGCTGCATTTAACTTATCCCAGAGTTAAAATAACAAAACCAATAAAATGTGACAAAATCTTTTAGAAGAACAATTGTTGTGCATTTTATTCCAGATGAACTTCTTGAGAGTTGAATCTGCTGCTGACCATTCAAGAGAAAATTGCCATTACAACTGGATATTTAGTTAAACTTATACTTCCATAATTCTGCTAGTGTAAAAGGGATAAGTTGTCAATATACATTATGCACATCATTATACACATACCCATTATCTTTGTCAGTAGCAGATATATCTGACAAATTTCAATGTTTTTAAAAATTATTTTAAATAAATGAAGCTGTTATTGCTGGGATTTAAAAGGTGTAAAGCTCTGTTTTACCAAGCTGCACACATAGCTATTTTTAGAAGTGATAACAAAGTTTCTCTCAAACCAAGTCAATGTTAATAGGTTTCAATTGAGAAAGCTTGGATGATTCAGAGTAAGACTTCAATTTCTTTATATGTAAAAGTAAAAAAAAAATGCAAAAAATTCTATAATTGGTTACTTGTAATACCTAGAAAAGCCCTAATAGATATTAGCATTGCTCCATATGAAACTTCTCTAAGTCATCCTAGTCCTACTGAGTTCAGCATCCTAAACAGGCATATGTTCATGCGTTAAATAAGCAGCTCCTCTGTTGTCCTGTAAGCAGGAAATTAATTCATGGTTCTTTAGTCCAATTTTTGTGGTTCTTTATTCTAAAGACTTTACAATGGATCCCTAAATACTTTTATTGTTAGAAATTAGGCATTTTTTGTTCCTCCAAAGAGCCTGTATGCTTTGTGTTTGAGCTGCATGGGTAGGTTATATTTTTTTGTGTCCAACTTACTTCTAAAGTGTTTTCTGTTGCTTTAGATTATTGAATAGTTAGCTTAGCCTAGTTCTGCAGGGCACCAAGGAAAAAGAAGAGAACTGTTCAATACAGATATGGCTATTCTCCCTCTACTCCTCATCAACGCTGTTCTTATAATTTGTATTTTAATACTGTACAGACATGTAAAACATTCACAATTTTTATTCATAAAATAAGAGAAAGAAGTAATTTATAAATTACCTATACATGGATGTCTATATCTATAAATCATGTTTAAGCGTAGATAAATATTACTTTGTAGGGAAGAAGACTGTAAACTTTTTTCATCTGTACAATGGTAGCCTGTGTCCATTGTTACCATTCAGGCAGCAAATTCTTTGGTTAAAATGTTTCACTGCACTTCTGCATAAAGCTTGTATGCAAGGTGTGTTGTTGTTTTCAACCAAGCTGTTAAACACCACTGCCAACTGGTGGTGTAAGCACCACTGTCTTTGCTTCCATCAGACTTCTTTTCACTTCTCTGTACGCTTAAGGGGTTAATTAAAAAAAAAAAATTACATTC